TAAACTGAATCTGGTTTTTCAAATCTGGTTTGAATTTCAGTCATGTTTGAAACTGAATCTGGTTAATCATATCTGGTTTGAAACTGAATCTGGCTCATGAAATCTCATTTGAATCTCAATCTTGTTTGAAACTGAATCAGGTTCATCAGATCTGGTTTCAAACTGAATTGTAAGTGGTTTGTGTCTTTAGGAGCTGGATGTGTGCGAGCAGAAAATGACGGGGGGCAGTGAGAGTGCAGCAGGAGAAAAAGATGGAGGTACGACTCTCATCGCTCAGATCCCGGTTGGCTGGCAGAGGAAGATGGAAGCTGGGGCTGTATCTTACATCAGGTACGTCCACACCTTACTTTTTGTCATTCATACCGTATTGACCCGAATATAAGACGATGTTTTTTTCTTGGAAATACATCTGAAAAAACGCGTCGTCTTATATTCAGGGTCTAGACTTTGACATGTCAATAATTCACCCACAACAATAGGTGGCGCCAAATACGCATAAAACGAGTGTGCCATGAAATACGTAATGTAATGCGTGTTGTAAAGATCGCAAGTAAAAACAAAAGAATAAGAAAACCTTACAACTGCATGAGTCGTGACTGTCACATGACTGTCAACTCCCTTTGTGATTTTAAAACGTAAGACAGTACCCAGATTTGAAGACTACAGTAAGATTTAACTTCTACTGTTAATAAGATTTTGGTAGGCTACTATTAGATGGATAGCCTAAATGTCCTAATTCAGATGGGCTACCTGTTTTTTCAATTTTTTAGTTCTTTGTGCATTTTTCTTTTTTTCTACTTGTTACTTTGCACGTTCTGTTAGAAAATGTTTATTTACTATTTATTCAGGTTTTTTAAAGGGATAGTTAACCCAAAAATGAAAATTTGATGTTTATCTGCTTACCCCCAGGGCATCCAAGATGTAGGGTGGTTGTGAGGCCGGTTGGATGTACTGTCAAATTCTCTGAAACGCCTTTGGAGATGGCTTATGGTAGAGAAATTAACATTCAATTCACGGGCAACAGCTCTGGTGGACATTCCTGCAGTCAGCATGCCAATTGCACGCTCCCTCAAAACTTGCGACATCTGTGGCATTGTGCTGTGTGATAAAACTGCACATTTTAGAGTGGCCTTTTATTGTGGCCAGCCTTTGGCACACCTGTGCAATAATCATGCTGTCTAATCAGCATCTTGATATGCCACACCTGTGAGGTGGATGGATTATCTCGGCAAAGGAGAAGTGCTCACTAACACAGATTTAGACAGATTTGTGAACAATATTTGAGAGAAATAGGCCTTTTGTGTACATAGAAAAAGTCTTAGATCTTTGAGTTCAGCTCATGAAAAATGGGGGCAAAAACAAAAGTGTTGCATTTATAATTTTGTTCAGTGTAATTTGTGTTAAACAGATAAAGAAACACTTTAAGATGAACAGCTGCAACTAAAAAAACGACATGCTACTATTTAATATTGTCTATATATCATCCCACTGACTCAGAAGCGACGTCACAGGAAACAAGATTCCTGCTAAAGCTATGCAGTGCTTATGTCATCAGTGTAGAAACGCTGTTATGAGTGGGCTGTGAGATGCCATCCAGGCAATTTCATCATGTTTCCGTCACTGGCAGTGACAGCGCCATGGAAACTGCTGCCATAACAATGAGCAAAGGTTCTGTCAGCATGTGTGGCGAGGGCCAATGTAGCTTTAGCAGAGCAAGTAGTGTGGCTAGTCAATATAACAAACCAGCTGCATGCAACATACTGCTGTGCTGCATTACTTATGATAAACACATTGCTTAGTGAAACAATGCAAGAATAAATGATCATACGGACACTGTTCAGTAGGTATAAAAAAAATAGAGTGTGTTGGCTGATACCAAAAGCAAATAATTATTTTTATGTTATGGCTGATAAACTGTAAAATGTAATTGAGCATTATTACAGATTGGGAATGCTGATATTCAGTACTACAGCATGACTGCATGCATATTTCTTTTATACAAAAGTTTGATCAAATAAAAGCTTTTGTGTACAATGGTCAAATCTCAATTTAACATGCAGAGACTATAATTAATTAATAAAGAAAATATGTGTTTTACAGGAATGTGAATCAAATTATGTGAATCATCAATTAACATAATGAAAATTACAAACAAACGTTAAAACATTCATTTTTCCAATTCATTCAAATTAAACTAAAGTAAAACAGTAGTAAAAATCTATTAATCTTTTAATTTAATTAAAAATGTTGTTTTTCATTTAAAATGAATTGATAACTTTTCACTTTTCAAACTGTGATGTAACTTTTAAATTGCATTAAAAAAGCACTTGTCAATTCTTTTTCTTAATCAATTAAAAAAATGACATTGGACATCGGATGTACACGTCAAATTAATAACCAAAAGCAACTGGTAAATGGAAAGAAAATGAGAGCTGAAAATTGTTTTGCATTTTGTAAACTGATTATAAAATGGTATATAATATGTTTATAATAAGATATATTTTTTTAATTGTTCAACTTAAAGGAACACTCCACTGTTTCTGAAAATAGGCTCATTTTCCAACTCCCCTAGAGTTAAACAGTTGAGTTTTACCGTTTTCGAATCCATTCAGCCGATCTCTGGGTCTGGCTGTAGCACTTTTAG